AGAGTTGATAAAATAAATAATAAAAAATTTAAATTATAATATAAAAAATTAAAAACAACAACCGTACAACACACGGACAAAACAAAAACTAATTACACGATGAAAGCAATCATCTCACGTAATTCATTTCCTTACAATTGCATTTCATACGATTTAATTCATCACTTTGTCCCACCACCTTCATACGGTTTCCGCACTCTCCCCTCCCATTTTCCGTGTTATGTTTCTCTACCTAAATCAGGATCGCATTCCTTGTACGTTTTCCTCCGTCCTTCGATTCCTTCTTTCTCTGCTGGGATTTTGTTGTTCCCTCTTTTTTCTTCTCTGGAATTCCACTTCCTTTTTACTAAACGACTGAGGTATTTGTGTTTTCCTGCTTGTGATCGTCGATTGCTGTTATGCGTTTGTGGTGTCGAGTTCGGAACTATTTTTTTCTCAGGGTTTGTTGTCGGTCTTCTTAGCTGTGTGTCACTCTTTGTATGGCGGTTACGGCGGCGGTTGCTTCTGATATTTTGCATTGTCTGGAAATAGTGTTCGGATTGTTGTGTTTCATGATTGCGGTGTTGATTTTAGGGTTTTGGGTTTATGTTTCCTGTAGAGATTTTGGATTGCTGGTTTCGATTTGTTGATGCAATTTGTTCCCTTGAAGTTTCGTTTTGTAATTTTTGACTGGGAATTAGTGAATTGGTATTGTATGTGCTGAGGGTTTTTCTGATAGCTATCCATTAGTTTGTTAAGTGTCCCTTATTTTTACAAATATGGTTTATTGCATTGACAGATCAAGTTTTGATGGTTTTCTCATGTATCTACAGATTTAAATTTGAAGAAATCTCACCTTCAGTAATTCTCAACAATGGACCGTAAGACTATTGAATGGGATCAAGGATGGCATAACATACAGAATGCGATCACAAAATTGAAGAGGATTTTGGAGGAGAAGCCAGAGCAACCATTTAGCTCAGAAGAATATATTGAGCTTTACACGTAACCTTCTATTTGCTGTGTTCGTTTGTGAGTTTTTGTTAACAACTGTTTTGAACATATTGCCATGATCTTTTCATTAATTCCAATTGCAGAACAATCTACAACATGTGTAAACAGAAGCCTCCTCATGATTATTCCCAACAGCTTTATGACAAGTACCGGGAAGCTTTCGAGGAGTATATTACTTCAACGGTAAGGAACATTGATGCTTATCCCATATTCTGAACTTTATTGGATTGTAAAAATACTTGTATTATGCAGACTAACTCTCTGTCTTCTAGACGATGTTTATGTCCATCTGTTCAGACAATGTTGGGCTATGTTCTGTTATTGTTGACTGCAGTGTGCATGTTCTTTTGTAGATCCTATATTATTATTTATATATTTCTGTTGAATCCATCATTTATTCTCTTCATTGTATCAAAAAGGGGTGTCTAATCCTTTAATTATAAGAAGACCTATTATTTCCAGGAATACATGTATCTTCACTGCATATCTTTCTGAGAATTTTTGAAATCTCAGATAGCTATAAACGAACCTTGTTTCCCAGGCCT